CCCCCGGGCCTCTTTTGCGTAACAGCACTATACTGTAAGCACTGTAAATTGCTTACGAACAATAGGTTCGTAATGCATACCAAAAGCTCCGTTGCTTACGAATAATTTTAAATGGTTGTGCTACGAACTAATTGTTCGTATGCTTATGAACAAATAGTTTGTAATGCAAACAGATTTTTTCATAATAATCCTCTTAGCCTTACAAACAATCGTTTTGCAATACAAAGAACGAAAATTGTTCGTAACGTTACAACGCATTTAGTTTGTAGGCCTAAGCATTTAACAGTGAGGACTCTGACATTTTCATTTAATATTTGCCTCCTAAAAGGGAAGGGAAAATTTAGAAAGCTGAGAAGTGACAAGTTTTTATCTCTTGCCGCCGACACATTTTTATTTGGTCTTACTGAAGATACACCCGCTTGCTGGAAGTTGGCCGCCGATAAGTCGATTCCGTTTAAATTCATTCGCGGCTTATTGGAATGTAATTTGTTGTTTTTTGTCACTATTTCTGTCGTTTTTTCATGACACGCTTCGGGCGCTTCTAGCCGCTAGGCTTTTTATCATCACTTATATTTGTAGTAGTGCCACAACAACATGTGTTCGTGTGTCCGGGTGTCGATTTGATAAACACTGTTTCGTTCGATGTCCTCTTCCTTTCTGCCACCTATACACTGTTAAGTTAGTTACCCGCTTAAGCCTTAGTTAATTGGACATAGTGACTGTGTGTCGTCTTTAATCTCTTTAAACCTTGATCAAATCAACATAAGTTCCAGGAGCCATCGCACCAAGCTCTTAAGACAGACCGCGGAGAGCTCCCCCTCTAGACTAGAAGAACAGAATTATAAAAATGTTTTAATGCTGGATGTAATGTAACCAACGTTGGTTTTACAATGAGGAGAGGAAGCAGTGTCTGTGGTGCTGGGCTTTCAAACTGCAGTTGCTTCTCCCATTTCTTTTATCAGTTTCTGACGCTCAATGATCGCCTTAGGTAAAAGATGTCTTGCAGAGCACACTACATTAAACATCAGAATAGAACTCCAGCAAAGAGGCGAACAAAAATGAATAGAGAAACGTTTATCGTGCTAGCGCTGCGCTGGCGCTCGGCGCCGTGTCCGGTCTTCTTGCTGGTCCATTGATATTCCTTGGGGGGCCGGAAAGCCCAAAGCTAGAGAGCCGAACAGGGGTCGTTAGTCCACCCTTCCGGCCCTGCCCTGCCCCCTCTGAACGTCGGCGAGGCCTGTCGACGTGGCCTGTCGGCTTGTCGCTCGGCTGCTGCTGCTGCGGGCGCCCAGCTGGAGCGTGCCTCCGTGCCCCGCGGTCGGACCTAGTGGCGTGATCAATATCCCAACACGGCTGTGGTGCCGAGGGGGCACGCACAAGTCCGTATCCTGGAGGTGGGGACGGAGGAGGTGAACATCATCATCGCCCTCGTGAAGGGCCCACATACCACTCGCACACGCAGTGGAGTGGAACGCCGCCGCACGAAATTTGCCAGCCGGCACCTTCTTTTTCCTCGTAAACTTTTCCCCATCCTCTGCTAAACTTTGTTCGACACGTAAAGAAGGTCTCGGATTACTCCGGAGGGTGGCTGTCGGCTGCACTGAAGACGGGAGGGGTCTTGTTGGTGGCAAACGCGGGAGTAGTACACCCTCAAGAATGTTGCTCTTGATGTTGGTACGCTTCTTCTTGGTTTTCTCGAGTGGTTTAACGCTTTGTTTTTGAGTGGAATGATCCCAACACAACGCCACATTATACTCAAAAATACCACAGGCAGAGCACAACAATTGTTGGAAAATAAAAAATAATTTCTTTTTGTGTATAGTGTAGTGATTGCGTAAAATAAATACAGTAAAGCCAAAACGAGAGCGCGAAAATGCAATTCGCAATTAATGGGAAGAATTTAATTTGTTCGTGGCCGTTTCCGCCATTTCGATGCGCGACATGACTACTGATGACCGCATGCTAGGCCGTGTGGTGAGTGGAGTGGGGAAGGGGGTGGGGGTGAGAATATCTGTCGCTTACC